TCTGTGAATGATCACAGAGGTCACATGGTAGAAGGCTATTCACAACAGCCTTTTACCATGTGACAAGCTGTGACCAATCACAGCTCACACCGTAGTTCTCAATGACTGCAAGAATGCAGACAGAGAGAAAGAGAAATGATTACTTTATATGGGTATAAAAGCAATCAGTGTAAAAAAAAAATAAATCTTCATCACCCCCCACAAGTAGTACAGTTAGGGTGTACTGCTAGGGTGACAGTATGTAAAAATAAAAATAAAAAATCATATAAAAAAAATAAAATAAAAATGTAAAAAAAAATGTTTAAAAATTATAATTTTTGGTTATAAAACTAATTTGGGATTTTTTTTTTTTTACTAAAAAAATAACAGAATACATTTTGGCCAAGATTTATGATTAAATATTATTTATTTGTAAAATTTAAAAAAAAAAAAACACTTTTTTTTCAAAATTTTTGGACTTTTTCATTTACATAGTAAAAAAAATTAAAATCCCAGCGGTGAATAAATACCACCAAAAGAAAGCTTTATCTGTCTCAAAAAAAATAGTAAAAAATTCATATGGGTACAGTGTTGCATGAAACCGCGCAATTGTCATTCAAAGTGTGATAGCGCTGAAAGCTGAAAATTGCACTGGACAGAAAGGGGGTAAAAGTGTCCGGACAGGAAGTGGTTAAATGATGATAACATTCCTTCATTTTTATATTTTTTATAAGTTCTTCTCTTATTATGTATAGCTTTTTAACTTTGGCCATAAGCCACATAGGTTTGATTTTTATCCTTTTATGCTTATTGCCCGTGGGAATATATTTTGCAGTGAGTTGACATACAGTCTTTTTGAAGAATTCCCATTTTTGTTCTGTGTTCTTCGATGCTAATATTCCCTCCCGGTCTAAGTCTTGGAGAGCAGCTCTCAGCCTTGGGAAATTTGCTATGTTAAAGTTGAGTGTTTTTATCTTTCCAGTATTGTTCCAGCTTGTTGTTTCCAGCTAACAACAAATGAAATCATGTTATGGTCACTGCTACCCAGATGTTCTTTTATACGGACATTCGTAATAAGCTCTGCATGGTCTGAGATGACCAGGTCCAGCAAAGCATCATTCCTGATGTGATAGAGGAGTGCAGCACTATAAATTCAACCAATATAATGCAAATTATAAAATTATGTAAAGTGCCAAGTGCATGTGAATCCAAAAATGATATAAGATAAATACGATAGTATGCATAAAATGCACTTATGTGCGATCAAATAAATAAATGAATAAAAGGATAAATATCAATAAACAATAAATAAATATATAAATAAAAAATGTCCAATATGAGTTGCGAATTGTCCTTAAGTGCGGAATAAATCCTGTGTTTATAACAAGGAATTCTGTAATTCTTCCAATAAAGGTATATCTCATGTGACCAATAATTCTGTGAATTGTGGAAAGTGGTAAAAATGCACACTCACCAGATGCACATTTAAAATATGCAGTGTATAATGTATGATGAAATCTGCCAGAGGTACCCTTTAAGGTGGAATGGATGTAAAGCCTGATAAGGATATCTCTCCTCTGGATACTGGGGCTGCTTTACAGCTTGATGTCACATGGGATTCTGCAGATTTAATTGCGATCCCCGGTGACACCACTCTCTCTTCTCAGGGCTGGGCAGGAACAGGCACAGCTGCCGGACTACATTAGCGCCAGTCAGTGCCACCTATCAGTGCCATGTATCAGTGCTGCCTTTCAGTGCCCATCAGTGATGCATGTCAATGCCCATCAGTGCTGCCAATCAGTGCCACCTATCAGTGCCAGTCAGTGCTGCCTATCAGTGCGCATCAGTGCCACCTATCAGTGCCATTCAGTGCTGCCTATCAGTGCGCATCGGTGCCACCTATCAGTGCCAGTCAGTGCCACCTATCAGTGTGCATCATTGCCGCCTATCAGTGCCACCTAACACTGCCAGTCAGTGCCGCCTATCAGTGCCATGTATCAGCGCTGCCTTTCAATGCCCATCAGTAATGCCTGTCAATGCCCATCAGTGCCACCTACCAGTGCCTCCTCATCAGTGCCCATCAGTGCCATCTATTTCATATGAGTAAAGTGTTGCATGACCGCGCAATTGTCATTCAAAGTGTGAGAGTGTTGAAAGTTGAAAATTGGCCTGGGCAGGAAGGGGGTATAGGGGGCCTGTAGGCTAGGGGTTACATGGTGTTGCCTCAGAAGGGGGGTAGTCTTATACAACGAGTATAGCCCAAAACCTATGTTTTAACTGGAAAATTAGGGGGTCGTCTTATACACCCAGTCGCCTTATACGCCGGAAAAAATGGTACATCCATAGACAGTTCCACCTATAATGCTTCAGCCTCACCACACTCTCCATCATCTAGGTCCTCTTTCACACTCACTCTGAGATCACTTCTCACATAGAGACAGACCCCACCACTTTGACTTTCTGCCTAAACAGGGGTAGTAGCCAGAACAGAGGGGTGGGTTTGACGCAAAACTGAAGATGAATAAGGTGTAGGGTCAGAGGTCAAATGTAGAAGAGAATCACTGATGTCTTGTGTGTCGGGCCGGGTCCCCAGAGTCTAGTGAACTTCCCTATACACCCTCTTGCCTCCTAAGTTAGCTCATAAAATGGGAGGTTCTGAATAATTACATTTGAAAGCATTCTCACTTTACAGCTTTCCTTTTTGTATGTTTGTTTGTATTCCATAAATCACTTTTTTTTTTTTCAATAATTTGATTATGTACAAATAATAAATAGCTCTTAACAGATCTCCCTATAGAGCTTCCTAATTGGCCCTCTAAAGATTTGATGATACTAAAAAAATTACAACATCTTCCTGGAGGATTCATTTGTTTGTTATATAAACCAGTCATTCTAGAAGTGCGTAAAATATACTATTTTATAAAAATTTTGACAGTGTCAGCCATGGAGAAGAAAACCAGGGTAAAATGTTATCTGTTTTCTTTACTAATAGTATATTTTTATTGTATGTTTATTATAGTATTATTCCTTGCTTTCTGTAATTATTGTTTTCATGTCATATTGGATATTTCTTTGGTAATTATATTATCCTGAGCTATTAATTTTGGGAATCAAATCTCATATTTTTACTTTAAGTTAGCTTTCAGAAAGCCCCATTCCTCAGTTCTCAAGGATGAGAATTGGAGACATCTAGGGTGAATTTCAGTAAGTCTACTTCTAATAATTAGAAAGAAAGGAATCATTTATCCTAGACCATGCTGAGATTGAGTACTTAGTCAGCTTCAAGATATAATTTATCAAAATCAAACTGGATATATGAAGTGGGAAACTTAAAAAAGGTACAGTTTAGTCTTAAGTAAATTGCCACAGATTTTTAATGTTTCATTCAACACACACATATATATATATATATACACATTACATTGCATGCATTATTTATATATATATATATACAAGGCCCCAATTCCAAAAAAGCTGTAATGCTGTGTAAAATCTACACAAACGCAGAATGCAATGATTTTCAAATCCCATAAAGTTGATCCAGGGAATATCTGATTGCCTCTCGGGAGATCAGGAAGGAACTTTTTACCCTGCAGGAGCAAATTGGATCGTGCTTTGTTGGGGTTTTTGCCTTCCTCTGGATCATCTGTGGGTGTAGAATTATAACTTTTTTTTTATGGTTGAACTAGATGGACTTTTGTTTTTTTTCAGCCAGACTAACTATGTGACTATATACAGTCAGGTCCATAAATATTGGGACATCGACACAATTCTAACATTTTTGTCTCTATACACCACCACAATGGATTTGAAATGAAACGAACAAGATGTGCTTTAACTGCAGACTGTCAGCTTTAATTTGAGGGTATTTACATCCAAATCAGGTGAACGGTGTAGGAATTACAACAGTTTGCATATGTGGCTCCCACTTGTTAAGGGACCAAAAGTAATGGGACAATTGGCTTCTCAGCTGTTCCATGGCCAGGTGTGTGTTATTCCCTCATTATCCCAATTACAATGAGCATATAAAAGGTCCAGAGTTCATTTCAAGTGTGCTATTTGCATTTGGAATCTGTTGCTGTCAACTCTCAAGATGAGATCCAAAGAGCTGTCACTATCAGTGAAGCAAGCCATCATTAGGCTGAAAAAACAAAACAAACCCATCAGAGAGATAGCAAAAACATTAGGCGTGGCCAAAACAACTGTTTGGAACATTCTTGAAAAGAAGGAACGCACCGGTGAGCTCAGCAACACCAAAAGTCCCGGAAGACCACGGAAAACAACTGTGGTGGTTGACCGAAGAATTCTTTCCCTGGTGAAGAAAACACCCTTCATAACAGTTGGCCAGATCAAGAACACTCTCCAGGAGGTAGGTGTATGTGTGTCAAAGTCACCAATCAAGAGAAGACTTCACCAGAGTGAATATAGAGGGTTCACCACAAGATGGAAACCATTGGTAAGCCTCAAAAACAGGAAGGCCAGATTAGAGTTTGCCAAACGACATGTAAAAAAGCCTTCACAGTTCTGGAACAACATCCTATGGACAGATGAGACCAAGATCAACTTGTACCAGAGTGATGGGAAGAAAAGAGTAAATGGAGAAGGAAAGGAACTGCTCATGATCCTAAGCATACCACCTCATCAGTGAAGCATGGTGGTGGTAGTGTCATGGCGTGGACATGTATGGCTGCCAATGGAACTGGTTCTCTTGTATTTATTGATGATATGACTGCTGACAGAAGCAGCCGGATGAATTCTGAAGTGTTTCGGGCAATATTATCTGCTCATATTCAGCCAAATGCTTCAGAACTCATTGGACGCTTCACAGTGCAGATGGACAATGACCCAAAGCAGACTGCAAAAGCAACCAAAGAGTTTTTTAAGGGAAAGAAGTGGAATGTTATGCAATGGCCAAGTAAATCACCTGACCTGAATCCGATTGAGCATTTCACTTGCTGAAGACAAAACTGAAGGGCAAATGCCCCAAGAACAAGCAGGAACTGAAGACAGTTGCAGTAGAGGCCTGGCAGACCATCACCAGGGATGAAACCCAGCGTCTGGTGATGTCTCTGCGTTCCAGACTTCAGGCTGGAATTGACTGCAAAGGATTTGCAACCAAGTATTAAAAAGTGAAAGTTTGATTTATGATTAATATTCTGTCACATTACTTTTGGTCCTTTAACAAGTGGGAGGCACATAAGCAAACTGTTGTAATTCCTACACCGTTCACCTTATTTGGATGTAAATACCCGCAAATTAAAGCTGACATTCTGCAGTTAAAGCACATCTTGTTTGTTTCATTTCAAATCCATTGTGGTGGTGTATAGAGCCAAAAATGTTAGAATTGTGTAGATGTCCCAATATTTATGGACCTGACTGTATATATGGGGAGAGAGAGAGAGAGAGAGGGGATACTATGTTTTCTAATTATTTATCTGTTTGTTTGTTTGTTTATTTATTCTCTTTACATGGTATTTTATTTTGTACATGGTGATACTAAAGAAGTTAACAGTGTTACTGTTTATATACACTATATTACCAAAAGTATTGGGCCACCTGCCTTCACACGCAATGGCCTCCCAGTCTTAGTCCGTAGGGTTCAATATTGAGTTGGCCCCGCCCTTTGCAGCTATAAAAGCTTCAACTCTTCTGGGAAGGCCGTCCACAAGGTTTAGGAGGGTGTCTATGGGAAGGTTTGACCATTGTGCCAGAAGCACATTTGTGAGGTCCGGCACTGATATCAGATGAGAAGGCCTGGCTCGCAGTCTCCACTCTAATTCATCCCAAAAGTGTTCTATCAGGTTGAGGTCAGGATCCTCCACCCCAAACTCATCCATGTCTTTATGGACCTTGCTTTGTGCACTGGTGCGCAGTCATGTTAGAACAGGAAGGGGCCATCTCCAAACTCCTCCCACAAAGTTGGGAGCATGAAATTGTCCAAAATGTCTTGGTATGCTGACGCCTTAAGAGTTCCCTTTGCTGGAACTAGGGGGCCAAGCCCAACCCCAGAAAAAAAAACCCACACCATAATCCCCCCTCCACCAAACTTTACACTTGGCACAATGCAGTCAGGAAAGTACCGTTCTCCTGGCAACTGCCAAACCCAGACACGTCCATCGGATTAGCAGACAGAGAAGCATGATTCGTCACTTCAGAGAACACATCTTTAGCTATTGAACCTGCAGACAGTTGGTGACTTCTGCGCACTGTATGCTCTTTCATTTTACGTGACCTACCACTTCATGGCTGAGTTGCTGTTGTTCCCAGTTGCTTCCACTTTGTTATAATCCCACTAACAGTTGAACGTGGAATATTTAGTAGCCAGGAAATGTCACGGATGGACTTATTGCCCAGGTGACAACCTATCACGGGACCACGCTTGGAGTCACTGAGCTCCTGAGAGCGACCCATTCTTTCACCAATGTTTGTAGAAGCAGTCTGCACCTGAATCCAATGATTTGGAAGACTGGTCCAATACTTTTGTCAATATAGTGTGTATATATCAGGGGCAGACTGACCATTCGAGCACTCAGGCACTGCCCGAGGGCCCAGGGTCAGTAGGGGGCCCCATGAAATGCCCCTGGTACCTTTTTTATAGGCATTTTTGAGTGTGGGCAAGGACACGGGGCCCCATGATCTCTTATTGCCCGGGGGCCCATGAGTTGTCAGTCTGCCCCTGGTGTATATGAATATACAGTATATGAGGGAAAAGAGAGAGCACAACAAGTTATACCACATGTAGAGAAATGCATACCATGTGAAACCTAATAATATATAAAAAAAGTTGTCTTATTTACACTCATACTAGACTACACATTAACCCCATTCAGTGTGAGTCAGTATTCATTATTATTTTTTATTATTATTATACAGTATTTATAAAGCGCCAATGGTTCGCTCAGCGCTGTAGATTACAAAGGGGGACTGAACATGTGACAGAACAATACCAATACAATGCAAAACATGAGGGGATTGAGGGCCCTGCTCTTTCAAGCTTACAATCTAGGAGGGAGGGGATGGTGGCACAGGAGGAGATAGCTGTGGGAGATGGAGTGGTAGGAGTGGTGGGGGAGGTCGGCAAGTTAGCAGGGGGTGGGGGGTAGGCTTCCCTGAAGAGGTGTGTTTTCAGGGTGCGCCTAAAGGAGAGGAGAGTAGGTGATAATCTGATGGGTTGGGGCAGGGAGTTCCAGAGGATGGGTGACACCCTGGAGAAGTCCTGGAGGCGGGCATGGGAGGAGGAGACCAGGGAACTAGAGAGAAGGAGGTCTTGTGAGGAGCGGAGTGTGCGTGCTGGGCGGTACTTGGATATTAGGTCGGTGATGTAGTTCGGAGCAGAAATACAAAAATTATGCATTGAAAATATCAAATAGGACAAATGCATAAGATCAAGTTATTTACAGCAGTTACTTGAGGCTTTTGTGCATTACAATGTTTTATAGACAATTAATGACACTAATAAAATGTAACATACTGTATGTCTCAAGTACCCAATGCAGATAACAGTTGGCAGCTCAGTTTGCACAGCTCATGTGGCACATCCTTGTATATACAGATATTTTCAGATCTTTATACGACTCACAAGGTGCTGGACCCTTCCATGATTGCTGCCTGAAACTGACAAATGCTCACAGCCATACGCTTTGCTTCCATACTTTTTCCAAAGAAGATTTAAAGTTTGGGTATACTCACAGTCATATTAACCCCACAAGAGTCTGCCCAGTGAATCTCTTAAATTCATACTCCTATTGTATAAACGTATTTCACATAAATAAAGAAGTCTCTTGGAAAAAAAAGTTTGCTAGAATGCATTAAGTAACCTGGTGCATGTAATTGTCTACAATTGGCTTTTAATGATCCAATAAACACCTAGATAACATTTTTTTACTTTCAGTATTTTATTACTGTAGAGTATACAAATAACCAGACCTTCATTACTGAAGTCATCATCTTGGGATTTCATAGCTCCAAAGAAATCAGCATTTTTATTTTCATTCTTCTCTTCATGGTTTACCTTTTGACTCTTGTTGGAAACCTTCTGATCATCACACTGGTGGTCTACAGCAAGACCCTTCAAACCCCCATGTACTTCTTCCTTGCTCAACTCTCCTTATGTGATATTATGATAACCACAGATATTGCCCCAAATGTGCTTCATGTTTTACTTAATAAAGGTGCAACAATGTCCTTCACAAACTGTATTTTCCAGCAATATATTTTTGTAGTGATGGAATGTACTGAATGTCTTCTTCTGACAGTGATGTCTTATGACCGATATTTGGCCATCTGTAACCCTTTGCATTATACTACTATAATGAATGAGTTGTTTTTTGCACAAAACTTACCATCTTTTCTTGGTTGTTTAGCATTTTTTCCATGATGGTCGCTACAATTATGATAACAGGTCTTGATTTTTGTGGGCCAAATATAATTGACCATTTCTTCTGTGATGTGTCACCAGTGTTAAAGCTTTCCTGTTCAGATATATTCTGGGTTCAGTTAGATATAATATTGAATAGCGCACCTTTTATTTTCTTACCTTTCCTAACCATTATGATATCATACATTTATATTATTTTTGCCATATTACAAATCCCATCCAACACTGGAAGGCAGAAGACTTTCTCCACCTGCAGCTCTCACTTGACGGTGGTTTGTATATTTTATGTAACACTGATTGTTATTTATGACCTTCCAACAAGTGGACAGTCATTGACTATAAGCAAATTCATATCACTGTTCTATACAGCGGGGACACCACTGTTGAATCCCATTATATACAGCTTGAGAAACAGAGACATAAAGATTGCTTTTGCTACGTTAATAAATGGTATTATTCATGTGTAGGAAAGATGGCCATTGACTCTACTCTTTAATATTTTTTTTTATACACACTTGTGAAGGAACAGCAAGGAGCTGGAGGCACTTGTTATCACAGAGGGAGATTTTCCAAAGCAAGCCAGAACTGTCATCTTGTCAGTGGATTACTGAAATATCAAAATAGTATGCGTAGGCTGATGTCACCATTGGTCCTTATCCTGAAGGATCCTTTCCTGGTTCCCATCTGAATGCATGATCCCCCTGATGGCTGGAAATTTTACTGCTGGACACAGTTAACCTGAGATGTGGAAACCTGCTCTGGATAGATGACAGCTGGTGAAGCACCCCCACCTGATGATCACATCCGCATGCTGAGTCCCACCCCCAGAGTACCAAGGAGTAGGTCTTATATACTCCAACGCACATTTATGTGTGCTATCTGGTTAGTGCATAGTATGCTCATTGTTTCCAGCCACAGCAGTCACGAAAGTTAATCATTGCTCACTGTGTCACCACAGTCACATTACTCCGCATGAACTATATTCAATAAGTTTTGTTACTGTGAGATACCATTTGTACACTGTTAATACCAGGGGCGGACTGACAACTCATGGGGCCCCCGGGCAATAGGGGATCATGGGGCCCCTGTGTCCTTGCCCACACTCAAACCACACCCAAAAAAGCCTATGAAAGGTACGAGGGACATCTCATGGGGCCCCCTACTGACCCCGGGCCCTCGGGCAGTCCCCGAGTTCTCCAATGGTCAGTCCGCCCCTGGTTAATACCATATAGCGCCGCATTTGTACTTTTATTTTTGGCATTTCTTGGAGGATCTGAGGTTGTTTCCGCTTCTATGCTGGCTGCTCCCGTCTGTGTTTTTTCCTGGTGTCACCCAGCGCTCATATTTTTATTGTTTATATAATTCTCAAATTCATATCACTGTTCTATACAGCGGGGACACCACTGTTGAATCCCATTATATACAGCTTGAGAAATAGAGACATAAAGATTGCTTTTGCTACGTTAATAAATGGTATTATTCATGTGTAGGAAAGATGGCCATTGACTCTACTCTTTAATATTTTTTTCATACTTTGATTACTTTTTATTTCCAAGAATAAATGCACTTCCATAGAGATATTGCAAGGATGACTGTCTTTTATTGTTCATCAGCACACATTAGTAAAGACATCAAAGCAGTATGTGGAGACAGGTTGTGCACATTTGAAAGCTAACACAAAGAGAAATGTTAAAAATTTTAAAAACCATCAAATATTTTCATATTTCAACAAAATATCATTCTATTCTGTATCCTAAAGTGAGTCACCAAAGTTTAACACATCTAAAATACACAATCTACTTTTATCACTAGCAAGCTTAAGTTACTAACGGAACCCTGTACACTCACCCCTCTCGAGGTCTCCCGTGGGGCTACGGGACGGTGAGAGGTCGTCTATCTAATATATATATGCTTACCTTGTTGATCCACATATTAAGCTCTCTTATATGGTGCATTGGGAAAGGGATTTAAGTTAGTCACTTGGTGGAATACGGCTAATGCTTTATCTAAAATCTTGATTAACACTACACTCATTGAATCTAACTACAAAATGCTTCTTCGGTGATATTTGGTCCCTACACGACTTGCTAAAACGTACCCTTCCGTGTCACCCATCTATTTTCAACATTGTGGACAGGAGGGTACTATGCTCCACATATGGTGGAAATGCCCTGTGGTAACTAGCTTTTGTATCCGTTTACTGTATACTGATCTGCATACAGTAATATTGGAGGACACACTGCATTACGGAGCCGGTGAGCATTACGACATCAGCGGTGTATACTAATCTTCATACGGTAATATTGGAGGACACATTGCATTATGGAGCCGGGTGAGCATTACGACATCAGCGGTGTATACTAATCTTCATACGGTAATATTGGAGGACACACTGCATTACGGAGCCGGTGAGCATTACGGCATCAGCGGTGTATACTAATCTTCATACGGTAATATTGGAGGACACATTGCATTACGGAGCCGGTGAGCATTACGGCATCAGCGGTGTATACTGATCTGCATACGGTAATATTGGAGGACACATTGCATTATGGAGCCGGTGAGCATTACGACATCAGCGGTGTATACTAATCTTCATACGGTAATATTGGACGACACATTACGGAGCCGGTGAGCATTACGACATCAGCGGATACTAATCTTCATACGGTAATATTGGAGGACACATTGCATTACGGACATCGGCATCAGCGGTGTATACTGATCTTCATACGGTAACATTTGGAGGACACATTGCATTATGGAGCCGGTGAGCCGCGGTGTATACTAATCTTTCATACGGTAATATTGAGGACACATTGCATTATGGAGCCGGTGAGCATTACGGCATCAGCGGTGTATACTAATTGTATCATACTTCATACGGTAATATTGGAGGACACATTGCATTACGGAGCCGGTGAGCATTACGGCATCAGCGGTGTATACTAATCTTCATACGGTAATATTGGAGGCATTACGACACATTGCATTATGGGAGCCGGTGAGCATTACGGCATCAGCGGTGTATACTAATCTTCATACGGTAATATTGGAGGACACATTGCATTATGGAGCCGGTGAGCATTACGGCATCAGCGGTGTATACTAATCTTCATACGGTAATATTGGAGGACACATTGCATTACGGAGCCGGTGAGCATTACGACATCAGCGGTGTATACTAATCTTCATACGGTAATATTGGAGGACACATTGCATTACGGAGCCGGTGAGCATTACGACATCAGCGGTGTATAACTAATCTTCATACGGTAATATTGGAGGACACATTGCATTACGGAGCCGGTGAGCATTACGACATCAGCGGTGTATACTAATCTTCATACGGTAATATTGGAGGACACATTGCATTATGGAGCCGGTGAGCATTAGGACATCAGCGGTGTATACTAATCTTCATACGGTAATATTGGAGGACACATTGCATTACGGAGCCGGTGAGCATTACGGCATCAGCGGTGTATACTGATCTTCATACGGTAATATTGGAGGACACATTGCATTATGGAGCCGGTGAGCATTACGACATCAGCGGTGTATACTAATCTTCATACGGTAATATTGGAGGACACATTGCATTACGGAGCCGGTGAGCATTACGACATCAGCGGTGTATACTGATCTTCATACGGTAATATTGGAGGACACATTGCATTATGGAGCCGGTGAGGAGCATTACGACATCAGCGGTGTATACTGATCTTCATACGGTAATATTGGAGGACACATGCATTACGGAGCCGGTGAGCATTACGGCATCAGCGGTGTATACTGATCTTCATACGGTAATATTGGAGGACACATTGCATTACGGAGCCGGTGAGCATTACGACATCAGCGGTGTATACTAATCTTCATACGGTAATATTGGAGGACACATTGCATTACGGAGCCGGTGAGCATTACGGCATCAGCGGTGTATACTGATCTTCATACGGTAATATTGGAGGACACATTTGCATTACGGAGCCGGTGTGAGACATCATGTATACGACATCAGCGGTGTATACTATCTTCATACGGTAATATTCATACGACACATTGCATTACGGAGCCGGTGAGCATTACGGAATCAGCGGTGTATACTGAATCTTCATACGGTAATATTGGAATGACACATTGCATTACGGAGCCGGTGAGCATTACGACATCAGCGGTGTATACTATCTTCATACGGTAATATTGGAGGACACATTGCATTATGGAGCCGGTGAGCATTATGGAATCAGCGGTGTATACTGATCTTCATACGGTAATATTGGAGTACACATTGCATTACGGAGCCGGTGAGCATTATGGAATCAGCGGTGTATACTGATCTTCATACGGTAATATTGGAGGACACATTGCATTATGGAGCCGGTGAGCATTATGGAATCAGCGGTGTATACTGATCTGCATACGGTAATATTGAATGACACATTGCATTACGGAGCCGGTGAGATCATTACGACATCAGCGGTGTATACTGATCTTCATACGGTAATATTGGAGGACACATTCATTATGGAGCCGGTGAGCATTATGGAATCAGCGGTGTATACTGATCTTCATACGGTAATATTGGAGTACACACTGCATTACAGAGCCGGTGAGCATTACGACATCAGCGGTGTATACTGATCTTCATACGGAATATTGGAGGACACACTGCATTATGGAGCCGTGAGCATTATGGAATCAGCGGTGTATACTGATCTTCATACGGTAATATTGGAGGACACACTGCTTTACGGAGCCGGTGAGCATTACGACATCAGCGGTGTATACTGATCTTCATACGGTAATATTGGAGGACACACTGCTTTACGGAGCCGGTGATCATTATGACATCAGCGGTGTATACTGATCTTCATACGGTAATATTGGAGGACACATTGCATTATGGAGCCGGTGAGCATTAGGACATCAGCGGTGTATACTAATCTTCATACGGTAATATTGGAGGACACATTGCATTATGGAGCCGGTGAGCA